CCCCCCCCCATGGCCCATCTAACAGTACATGTAGATGTGGGTAGAAGTTGAGTGGTGGTTGTCGACAAACGCATTACACATTTATTAATGCTACAGCTAAGGTACTGCTTTGAATGTTTAATAACAATTAACATTTATCAATATTGGAGACCTGATGTTGAAAGTGATAATCAGTTTCAGGGTGCAGGCCCGGCCCATACCCCTGGCATATCTGGATTTGTACCAATATTTGTTTACAGCACTAACTACTACAACAATAGCAAATTAGAAGATATTGAGACCTGATCTAGCTTGGACCTCTTTTGAATAATCACAAGGATAAGGAATGTTCAGTATTACATAATCAGCCATTTTGATATGTAAGATGGTGATATAGATTTCCTAAGGACAACCATACCTGTACAATATACCTGACATGTAAACAGCTGAGTAGAATAGACTACCTGGCATTGATTGCATAATAAATCTAGACACAGGAATCAAATGTCGGGGTGGGCTTCTGCAGGTTATGAGGAATCGAGTTGTGTGTGTTGTAACTAAGAGCTGGTGGCCAACCTTGAGTGGGGTAACAATAAACTCCTACCAGGTAAGGTGTAGTAGTGGTAATGTTACAGACGGGGCGGCGTTCACGGCACAATGAATCATGAGACACTCTCATTTTGTGACAACCACTGAAGTTCACGCTTCTCAATGTCTGTCTGTGGTAAATAATTATAATGCACAACCCATTTTTAAATTGAGGTTTTTGACTTATCATGTTGGCTGATCAGCTAAATTGATAGAACATATTATGGCTGATGTCGTCAGCATTTGATCATCTGAAATATATGCTAAAGCTTTCTGTATCATGCATAAAACATACATTTACATAAATCATAGTGGATAATATTCAACTTTTAGTTCTACTGAACAAGTAGTAAGTGTTATAATGGTTTACAAAAAGCTGATGCAATGAACCTGTGTGTCGGCACATTCTGGTATAGACCAGTGTTGTGTGTAGAAGTTGGAGTGGAGGAAAATTAAGTGGGTCACTTCAGACAACATGTAATGAAAATATTGGTTTTTAATTATCAGTTTGCTGTCTTTTCAAATATTGTATTTGGTATTTAATATAGTTGGGTATGTGCAAATAATATTCATCTGATAATCAATCCAAACTGACTCAATGTTTGACAGAAAAAGCATCCACTTTTAGTAAAAGAGATAGAAAATATAACACGAAGACAAAATATTAGCTCAGAGTCAATAGAAAATGATTTAAACAGGAACTGAGGAGACATCAAAACAAAAGACAATATAAACAGACACAAAGCTTACTAGAGTCAAAACAGGGGGGGGGGGGGGGGGGGGGGCACATATCTGTTACAGTGTCCCATCAAACTGTGGTAAGTAATTATATATAAGAATGATGATGTAAGATCCACTGTCTATTGAATGAGTAAGTTATAAATATCAATGATTTTTATAACTGAATTATAATGTTAAAATATAGATTCCCCCTAGAGATTCTGTCGTCTTCCATAACAAGCGTACAAGTGAGATATGACCACACATACTGTTGAGGAAGGGAGATCTATACTGAAGATTCCATGTAGTAGTAGTACCTCTGGCACCAATCCAGGTTATTTCTGTTGTTGAATCAATAATGAAGTCTTTTGATAAACCTAATCTATAACATACACCCTATACATGTAATAGGTGAAGTTTGAATCCAGTCTTTGTGACCAAGGCTTTGCTTCAGGGATTTGTCATTACAGCCCCTTTTGATCAAATAACACCTGATGAAAAAGAAGGGAAGTGATTCGGGACTTTTTTGTCACAGTTTTGTGTGTAAGGTTCAAAGAACGCTTTGTCAAACAGGAAAGTCACAATTTATAACAATTTAAAAAAGACACTAGATTTTATTGTAATGCTATAAGAAACTCCTCAATGGCACTGGCCTATAAATTGTAATTTAATGATTTCCATTTTGTAGAAATTGTTTTCTTGTGATTCAACTTTTTTCTCTTACAAAAGTAAAAGATGTTTAAAAGGATTTTTTTTATATTTGAAGGTCTAGATTTTGTTGATTTTTTTTTAACTCGTTCACCCCTGAAATTTCATAATGAACTATTCCAATTTTTGAATTGGAAGAGTTCAAATGTGTCTTCAGAAGTGAATGAGTTGAAGGGATAAAAACAACCCTTTTGCACTTTGAGTTTAAGCCAAGTAAGCCAGGCCGACATCCTGTCGTTTTTCCTTATTGATATAGATTCTGATGAAACACAACAGTATCCTGTATTGATAACAAATTTTACTTTCCACACAATTAATGTACGTATTGTTTGTATAAAAAGTAAAACTTTGATATCACATATTTCCAAACTGATGTATCTTATCGACAGTTTTCTGTATTTATGTGATCAGCTTGGCATGTCCTCATTCCCCTGTTAATTGACTGGGATCAATACTCCCTGTACATAGTCATTATGTTGATGTTGAATTCTTAGGTATCCTGATTAAATTATAAACATAGGCTATAATTAACCTAGCATGATAAGGAATGTGTTATTCTTAGAAAGCAAGATCAGGAATGTTGTTAAAATTGTAAATTCTTACAAAGCATAATAATGAATGATTAATTCTTCTAAAGCATTGTAAAGATGGTTTAATTCTTACAAGGCTTGTCCAATGATGTTGAATTTTGCAAAGCTTGATAGAAAGTATTTAATTTTTGCAAAACATCAAAAGAATGTTTAATTGTCACAAAGCATATGAAGAATGTTTAGTTCTTACAAAGCATAATAAAATTGCTTATTTCTTGCATAGCATAATAAAAATGTTTATTTCTTACATAGCATAATAAAAATGTTTATTTCTTACATAGCATACTAATTTTTTTTATTTCTTACATAGCATAATAAAATGTTTAATTATTTCAAAGCATTATAAAGAATATTTTTTTTTTTTTACTCTGCACTATATGCTAGTACTTTCAGTGATACATGTACCAAAAGGCTTATATTTGGTATTGCAGGTAATTGTCATCATAAAATCTTTTTTAATTTTACAGTAAAAATGTCACCTATATGTGTTGTGACATAACAGACCTTCCTATCCGGGTGTAAAGCAATCTAAGTAGGGTCGCATGGGAAAGACAACAAAAACACTTGCCTCCAAATAATGTACCGCTAGCTGTGGATCTCAACTAGAATTTGTACAGGATTTGAATGCCAGATGATGCGTTGAAGAATTTATAGATGAAAGCGTCAAACCTAATTTGCAGTATATACCTCTGCTCTTCCCTCAAGAATTGTGCAGTAAAGAGAGAATGCAAATGGATTAAAGTATAGAAAAATCTACCACACCCATCTTGATGATGTTCTAAATGAAAATTGAATTACGACAGATATGTGGCCTTTGTTGCCTGTCATCGGTACTGGGAGTACTTTGTGAGGAGAGGTAGGAGCCATTGGAGAACACCTTTAAGAGTGGGAGAGCATTGATTACCAATGAAATTGTGATTTAATTTGGAACATTTCAAGTATATTGGGTGATAAGATGCTGCAGCAAGGCCATACTACAATCATGTTACTGTGGGGAATAGACTGGCACGGCCATATACACTTCAAATGCTGCCGTAATGCCATTCTTCAGCTCTGCACATACAAAAAACAAATTCAAGATTCAGTATTATTTTTGTACAGGATGATTCGGTAGATCTCTGTGGAAGAACGCATATCTCTTAGTTCTGTTTCAGCTTTGTGATCAGTAGTATAAGTGAAAGCATTATTGTACGAGATTAAAATGTGTAGGTTTATTGTAATGGTTTAGCTGTTTCAAGATGCAGAATATTTAAAATGAAATATGAGATAGTAAAAGAAGGAGATACATATATATACATATGGTGTACATATATATACATGTACAGGTTTATATAAATGGGGTACGTATATACATGTACAGGTTTATATATATAGGGTGTACGTATATACATGTACAGGTTTATATATATATGGTGTACGTATATACATGTACAGGTTTATATATAGGGTGTATGTATATACATGTACAGGTTTATATATAGGGTGTACGTATGTACATGTACAGGTTTATATATTATATGGTGTACGTATATACATGTACAGGTCTATATATTATATGGTGTACGTATATACATGTACAGGTTTATATATTAATATGGTGTACGTATATACATGTACAGGTTTATGTATAGGGTGTACGTATATACATGTACAGGTTTATATACAGGGTGTACGTATATACATGTACAGGTTTATATATTAATATGGTGTACGT